CCCTCGGGATTCTGATTAGTCAGGGGCACCTCAGTTTGGTGTCTTCCTTTCTATTGAGCATCAGCTCATGTCACTTTGTAAGAAAAGTGTACTCTCCATGAACTTGGATGCTGTGCTTTAGTACCTGTGGATCAAGGTGGGCATCTGAGTCTGAAAAGCTGGATCTCTTTTTGTGTGCATCAAGGAAAACCTTCCCCTCTGCCAGAGTTGTCCGTCTGAGTGGACTGCTTCTCTCCATTTCATGTGTGTGATTCTCCTGACTTTGCTTCCTTCTGACATCAGACTCATCCTGGGGCTCAGAGTCGGTAGGTATCATGGCATATGGCTAGGCACGGCATAAGGCCAAGGGTGGAGTAAGAGCCCTTCCTGTCCAAGATTCTTTCTTAGAAACAAGGAAACCTGTTCCAGAAATATTTTTTACTGGTTAAATATTTGTGGTTAAAATTGGGCTATGCCTATAAATTCCCACCCAGGCCTTGATGAAGAAAATGAGATTATTGTGACTAAAACAAATGATTTGGTGTGAAAAGGATATTGAGGAATTAACTGTTGCAGCTACCATATTTCCTGGAATGTAAGGAGAACTAGAAGAGCATTTAAGAATTGTCATCAGACACACAAAACTATGGGGACATTGAAGTATGGTGAACATGGCAGTATGCAAAGATTCAGAAAGTGTATTCCATATAACCCATTGAGAAAATCAATGGAGTTAATTTTTAAAAAATGACCAGGAAGCTGAAGACAGAATGGGAACATGATAAGTTTGAAATGCAGAATAAGGCCTACCAAAGATATCCTAATCCCAAGAACCTGTGGCTGTGTTACCTTTCATGAAGACAGGCACAGGCAGATATGATTAAGTTAAAATTCTGAAATGTAGCAATCACCCTGGATGGTTACATGGGCTCAATAGAATTATTTTTGGCTTTTTGTGACAGTATCACTTTTTAGCCCAAGCTCGCCTGGAATTCATGGCAATCTTCCTGCCTCAGCTTCCCAAGTATTGTATTACAGGCATGAACTGCTTTGCCCAGCTTATTCTTTGAGAGGTGGGGACTTAGCTGCCTATGCTGGCCCTGAGCTCCTAGGCTGCTGAGCCTCCTGCCACAGGCTTCTTAGTGCTAGGATTACAGGCTCATATTCCCATGTCCAGTTATCTTTGGTTCCTTTAATCCCAAATGAGATGAAAAACTGGCAAGAATGAAGCATCCAGAGCATGCCACACAGGTGACAGACACCGCTCTCCGCTCCTCTGCAAGTTAAAACTTCAAAATACACTAAGAAATCTAAATTCTGTGCTAGTTTTATGTCGAAAGACCTTGACTTTTCTAAGTTTTTTTTTTTTTCTTCCTAACTGTTCATGCCAGCAGCATGGTGTGTCACCTCCAGGAGCTGGATTGATATGGACACATGACTAACAAGACCACTGTGAATTCATGTTTCCTTAGTTCTTACTAATGTCCTTTTACTGCCCCAAGAAAGGGTTGTGGCACCACTGCCCGGTACTGAAATAAAATAATTCCTAAAACATAAGATTATTAAAAAATCCATAACACAAGCTTATGAGGTGTATTTCATGTTCAATCACAGCACAAGGGACTGCAAGGCTGTCACCAGAAGCCACCAGAGTTGTCCGTGAGTCCCTAATAAGGAACTGACTCTGCCATCTCCCTGGCTTCAGGCTTTTGGCCTGAAGTGTGAAAGAATAGAATTCTATTCTTTGAAGCCTTCGAGTCTGTGGTGTGTTGTTTTAGAAGCCCCAGGTAACCAAGATGGGAATGTGCTGCCCAACCCCTCCTGATAACACCCTCAATCTTCTTTGACTGAGGTCATGTTTGTCAGATTGCTCTGCTGTGAAGTTGTCATCCCCCCTCTGCAATGCTGTAGAACGAGGCCCAGGCCATGTTTAAGAAGCAAGGCTATTGTGTCAGATAGTTTTTTTAAAAATATTTTCATGTAAATGTTATTACCAGCATAAAAGACTTGCACATAGAACTTTATTAAACCATCTTCTTATTAATTCTATTTATTTCCTGATAGTGGGAATGGAACTAATGGACTCCCATATGCAAGCACTGTCCATGGAGCTATCATGTCAGATCCCTTTATTAAATCCATTAGCTTTCCCCCATTTGATTTCTTTGGATAGTCTTGAATTATAAATGCAGGCAATGGTTTAACTTCTTCCTTTCTAATATTTACATATCACATTTATTCTTAATGTAGTATTACATCCGTGAGGGTTTCCTGAAGAACAGCAGTGGCTGTTTCCCTCAGAGCCAGATGGAGTGGTCATGTTTAAAATTCTGACCTTTGCTATTATGAGAAGGAGCTGCTAAAACAGCTAGACAGTCTGACGGTGGCACTCACCCAGTTGCCTATCACCAAAATAACGGTCAGGGAGGCATCCAAGTGCTCCAGGAGCAGTGCTGCCTGGAAATTCATGGTCCATATTCTCTTTATCGTTAACCAAACTCAGAAAGTCCTACAAACACCTGGATCTGTGCCCAAGAATACTCTTGGCACATACTAATGCTCAGCAAACAGGACAGCTCTGAAGACCAGGAAACAGCTGCAAAAGTTCACTGTCAGGGACTTGCAGCAGGACATTGACAAATATGGGGCTAGGCTGGGAATAAACTGTAAGGAACGGGAGGGAACATCTTAGTGCCCAGTCTGGGCTTCTGGCCTGGAGGCTCCCATTGCCTCTGAGAAGCTGCTTCTTTGCTCCACACATGCAGTCCTGGTGGGGGAACCCCAGTTAGGGACACCGTCCAACAATTAGGTACAGAGCTTGGGGTGTAATGGAAGTATACCCAATGTCCTGGACCTGGTAATTGTTCTAAAAGAAGGCAAGAAATTTAAGGAGGGCCAATTCCCTCCTCTCTCTCATTCTGTGTTAATGGAGTCAGGAGAGAAGGGAGAAGGGTCTTAGTAGCTGACCTACAGGGTGGGGAGGATGATACTGGAGACTGCCTTTACCTGCATGGGGACCAAGGGGAGAATCACAGATGGTGTGAAAGGGCAGGGAAGAAATACTAATGGTCTTGTTTGTTTGTTTATGTGGTGGTTTGAATAAGAATGCCTCCCCCCCATATTCTTGAATGCTTAGTTATCTGGGAATGGCACTGTTTGAGAAGGATTAGGAGGTGGGGCCTTATTGGAGGAAGTATGTCACTTGGGGGTGAACTTTGAGGTTTCAAAAGCCCAAGCCAGGCTCAATGTCTGTCTGTCTGTCTGTCTGTCTGTCTGTCTGTCTGTCTGTCTGTCTCTCTCTCTCTCTCTCTCTCTCTCTCTCTTCCTGCTGTCCGTGGATTTGGATGTAGAACTCTCAGCTACTTCTCTAGCACTAGTGTCTGCCTGTGTGCCACCATGTCCCACCATGAGGATTAGGCCAGCCCCAATTCATTGCTTTCCTTTATAAGAGTTGCTGTGGTCATGGTGTCTCTTCACAACAACAGAACACTGTCTAAGATGGTTTGTTTGTTCTTTTAATGGTCCTGGAACCCAGGACCTCACACATACTAGCCAAGTATTCTACTCTCGGACACAGTTCTTGTTTTGTTGTTGCTGTTTGGTTTGGAGGTTGTCCTGGAACTCGCTCTGTAAACCAGGCTGGTCTTCAACTCACAGAGATCCACCTGTCTCTGCCTCCCAAGTGCTGGGATTAAAGGCAAGAGCCACCAACGCCCGGCCCAGCCACAGTGATCTTGTTTTAAACCCTTGCATTATCCATAGCTGTAGCTCAGTGGTAGGGCTTTCGCTCAACATGTGTGAGGCAGAGGGTGAGTTGTATCCCTTATACTAGAAACCAAACCCCAAATCTTGACTCCAAACTTCCTTTGTACCTGAATGGTATGGTTTGGTAACGCAGTGTCTCTTGCTGGCTTTTATGTTGAAGCCTTGGTCTCCACCTGGTGGCCCTCATCTTGGAAGGCTTTGGAAACTAGGCTAGTTGAAGAAAGTGAGTCACACAGGCATGTCCTTGAAGTGTATTTTGTCCCTTTGCTTCCTGGTGGTGGCAAGGTAAGAAACGTGGTTCCTGTACATTCTTCCGATACAATGCTTGGACATGGATGGAGCCCTCTGAGGCCATGTGCCCAATTATATGGTTCCTTCCTTAGGTTGCTTTTGGGATATTTTGTCACAGCAGCATGAGAACTAACAGTGAGCTAAAACATTTGTTATTCAGGATCACTTGCCACAGAAGGGACTTTAGCCCCTCACAGGAATCCTTTAACTTAGACCTAACACCTGAGAGCCAATGCTTGCATGCTGGACTGGGGAGTGGATGTGAGGGAGATGCATCTTGAGTTTACAGATGCGGAGAGCCAGGCTCTGGGTGGCAAGCCTGTATTCTCCCATGGTTGCAGGTGCCCCTTGAACCTGCAGCTTCCTCCCACAGCGCCTCCTATCTCTTTTGGCTGATGACCATCCAAGACCAGCAAACACTTCTGTGGCTTGCATTCCTCTCCTGGTAGATGCTATATTCTTTAACGAAACAATTGTCGGGAGGAAAAAAAATTGTAAAGTCCAAACCCATATCAAAGTGTGTGTTAAGCTGACCACAAGCTGCACATCAGAGACCTCGGACACTCACGACTGCCAGATCCGAACCTGGGCTGGCCACAGTGGAAGCATGATTGGACCCTTGGCTGGCCATAGTGGAATCACGTCCCAGGACTTTCCAAGGCGCAAACTTCTGAACCTCCCCCTGGGCAGCGACGGAGACTGGAAGGTCGCTTGTTGCCTCGTGCGCTTTCCATTCGCTTCCAGCACTTCTGTAAACTTCTCTGTCCTGAAGTTTGTGCGCCGGCCTTTGGAGACACACGGACCTCGGGGTTGGAGGGGCAAGGGGTGCGTCCAAGGTTACAGAGACTGCGACTCACTCAGCCAGCGCTGGGCGGGCTTGGAGAGGCGGCGGAGGGCGGGGACTGCAATCGGCCAGGCCTGTGGGTCCCCGTACCGAGTCTGAGCCCCGGCAGCGCGAAGACCACATGGAGCTCCCGGAGGAGTCTGCTCCCGGACCGGGGGGCGCGGACGCTGCGTCCGAGCGCCGTGGACTGCGCCTGCTGCTGTCCGGCTTTCAACAGGAGCTGTGGGCGCTCCTGGTCCTGGCGGGTCCTGCGGTGAGTCAGGTGGCCTCGGCTGAGAGCCGGTCCCCTAGGATTGGGGGCCCAGTTACCAAAGTTGCCGCGTCTGACTTAGCGGGTTGGGAACTGGGAGAACCGGCGGCAAGCTACTGTTGCGCCAGTGTGGAGAGCCTGGTGCGCCTCAGCGCCTCAGCGTGCGCCCTGAAGCTAGAGGTTCCTGAAAGTAGGAATGAGCAAACAAGAACGTTTCTTTGCAAACAAGTGGTGAAGCCTGCGGGGTCGGGTATCTGTACAATCAACCCGGGGCAGAGGCATGGAGCAGGAAGGTGAACTGCCACCTTGGAGTTAGGTTTTCGAAACTATTTGTAGTCTAGAGCCAATGTCTGACACGGAGGCACCCTGTGCCAGCTCCTTTCTCACCAAACACTGCGCTCAAAACCTGAGTTATTTTTTGTTTTTGTTTTGTTTGTTTGTTTGTTTTTTTGGTTTTTCGAGACAGGGTTTCTCTGTGGCTTTGGAGGCTGTCCTGGAACTAGCTCTTGTAGACCAGGCTGGTCTCAAACTCACAGAGATCCGACAGCCTCTGCCTCCCGAGTTTTTAATGTAGTCCTCTTTGGGGTGGAGTGCTCTAATCAGTTGGTTTTACTTATTAAGCTGGGCCTTCTTTACTGCTGTCTCATAGAAGCAATGTAGTTTTAAAGACCACAGAGCCACATCACATATGCACTTATTCCTGTTCTCTGCCACTTTGGGAGGGGGGGTTCAGTCCTCAAGGGCGGAAAAAGCCACTTTTTTGGCCAAAAGAACATGCCAGTGTGTGTCCGAGTGAATATACTATTGGCGTAAGGGCAAACATTCAGGCACTAAGCTTGGAGCTCCTGGATGCAGGCATGTGTGACCTCTTGGATTGGTGGGCCTACTCTTGGATATGGTGGCACACACAGTAGGGTGTGGAGCAACAAGAACCAAACCCAGGGCAAACCCATCAGCTGCAGGTCCACCGGGGCAGAGGAACTCACAGCCCTCTGTGGACAAGAGCTGCTGGTGTTCAGTCTTCAGACCTGGAGTTCAGGTCCCTGCTTGGATCGTCCCAGGTGTGTTAGGTAATAGCCGGTGAACACAGAGCAGTCCTGCTCTCTTCTCTCCAGAAAGTGAAGAGAGGCTAGCTTTGCCTCAACTTAGTTTCACAGAGCTGCTGTCAGGAAGACTTTCTAAGAGCCAAGTGTGGTAGCCATGGCCTGGAATCTCAGTACTCTTGGGGAGACTGGGCCAGAAGGGTCAATCACCCCAAGTTCAAGGCCATCCAGGGCTACAGAATGAGCTCCTGCTTCAGAAATCCAAAAAGGAAAAATAGCAGCAGCATCCGGAGCATCTTCTAGTTACCGGATCCCCAGCATTAGACTGATAGAGGGGGAACTGGCTCCTTTTCCGGCATGGGACCATGAATGAAGACATGTATGCCATTGGTTTCTTACCAATACAATGTGTATTCATTGCAGTGGGGGAAAAGAAAGGAAGGAAGGAAGGAAGGAAGGAAGGAAGAAAGAAAGAAAGAAAGGAAGGAAGGAAGGGAAGGGAAGAAAAAGGACACTAAGACTAACAGAAGGAAAGAAGGGAAATCTCAGCTTATGGAGCAGCCAGGTGACCTGATGACTGCTTTGCAAGAGCGTCATCAAGATTTCTGTCTCACCACAGCTGGCTTGTTTATATTTTGAATTTGCATGTTTGCCTGACTTGGTATTTCTCAATTAAACCTCCAAGTGGAACAACTTCTCCGTCAGTTGTTACTGATGTGAAGTGATTCTGTTACTGTTGTGTAAATTATCAGAAACTAGTCTTTAAGGCAGTTGTGGTGGTCTACTTGTAAAAGCATTGATTCCTTTTTGCTTTTAACAACAGTGGAGTGTCACCTTGACTGGATTCTTGGCTGAAGCAGGTGGGACCTCTTCTCAGATAGCGACAAATTACCTGGTGACACGGGCTGTTTCTGAATCGAGTGTGAAGACCTTGTGGTCTGTGCTGGTATCTGTTCACCGAGCAGCATTCTCATGGAACAGCTCGTCTGCCTCCATACCCTAGACTTGTTTTGGCTTTCCTTGCCTTTTCCATGTTTTGATAGTAGTGTAGTTGGAAGCCTCTGGGATGAGGCTTTAACTAGTTTCTGCCTCTGGTTGGTGTGTAGATAGCAGCTTTGGACTACTCTCCTCACGTATTGCTCTAGTATGTTCTGGTGGGATGCCACACCTTGAGGCACACTTTGAGACCTTCTGTAGGCCCTTTCCAGGCCTTTGATCCTGAACCCTTGGTAGGTATGTGTGTTTGGGGGTGTGATGCTACAAATATGCTGGCTGAGTTTTACTGGTAGGATCTCCAGCCCCAAGCATCATAATGATGAATAGTCAGAGATCGGCTACACTGCCTAGAAAGTCCCCCATCATCCCTGATATGGAAGAGAGCACCAACGGGAGAGTGGAGATGGGAAAATAAGTGGTAGGGCACTGCCTGGAGAGGTGTTCTGCAGTGTGCACTGGGTGGCCTGGCTTCTCTGGCAGTAGGGAGGGTAGAGATGTTTTCTCACCTTGAGTTAAACAGATGGAACCAGGAAGCCTTGGTGGTCAGTGACGCCGGAAGGCAAGACTAACACTCAAGTAGTATAAAAACAGCTTGAATGTTGCCAGGAGCAGTAGGGAATATGCATGTTATGGCATGTTGCTTGCTGCCTTGGACATAGGTGTATTGTTGGGTGCCACTGTTTTTCCTAAGTGAAAGCATTTTAAATAGAGCTGCCTGGAAAGGTTGTGTAAATACCCTTAATAGCATAGTGTACATACTTAGGCAAAGTTCAGGTGTTTATCTCCAGCAAGTTTGGTGTTTGTATGATTGTCCACCTGCTTTTGTGAACTTGAATCAACCTATGGACCAGAGTATCAATGAACTGGACTGTTACTGCTGAAGAAATGGTGGGGAACTTGGTGTAAGATGCTGACAACAAATCTTTTTGT